GGCAAAGGTTCTGAAAACTAGCAAGTCCTGCAGTCCAACCACTCCTCGTGGCATCAAGTACAGTATACTACCATTGAGACAGGATCCAGGTTGACTCCTGCACTTGTTGATGGAAACAATTCTGATAGGATACAATATCGATTCAAACACCCCCATGCATTTCACGGGTCAAGAGGGCAACGGTTGCATAACATGTTGGATAGGGGGAGACTGCGTTGGCCTGATGGCCAATCTTGCAGTACAAAAGAATATCGACGAAGGGACTGCGAGCACGCCAGTGACACCTGTCATGTTAAACATCATGGGCAGGAATATTGGCCGCAGCCAAATCTGACGCAAGGTCAAGAATGGTGATCTCAAACCCAAAGCTCCCTTTAGAAACAGGCCTGATATTGATTTTGTCGGATGCACTTTGAGCAGGCGACTTTTGACGCACCGTGGACTTGCACCATTTGAACAGAAATTTCAGCGGAGAAGGAAAAGCCTGTTTGCTATATGCCAGGTTGCGCAAGTGCATGCCTAGTGGCAATGCCCGCAGTATAGAAGCAGAATGTTCATTGTCAGTCTCCAAGCACCCCACTGCATCTGTCATCCTAGAACAGCAAGGAATCTGACCTCGGGCGCATGGCATCGAAGCCTGCCATCTGCAATCCAAATTGTACAAAGAAGAGAAGTTGAAGCCTTGTATAACATCCGTTTGGAGAACTCCAATGACTTTTTCTCGTCAATGTCAAGGCTGTTGGTGTGCGTGACTTGCAGCTTATGTCAACCACGCGCGCGCCGCTGCAACATGGTTGTTGCATGACAGCGGCCCGCCTTGGAACACAAAAAGGTCCAAACTCTCTGGGGCACAGAGACAAAGCATCCAAAGAAGCCCCTTTAATTTTACTCACCCTGTCACCCCATTACACTCAGGTTCCTTCCGGTTGCTATTATAGAGTAGAGGCCATGGGCTTCTGTATACTTTGCATCAGCAGAGTTCTCAACACGTAGCGGCGGCCCATATCATATATAACAGCGCAATCCGGTGTGTTTTTGGATTGCGCACCAGCCATTGCAACAGTGGAAAGCCAAGCCAGAATACTTAGAGCATCTTAGAGCTCTGATCAAACATCACCCACAAAATCAATTATCGTTGGCTCAAGCGCTTGGCAGCCTGGCAGCTGCCCTTGAAGATGAATTGCGATGAGCGGTACTTGTGATGGACCTGATGTTGCCCTTCACCTTCAACTGCTGCTGCCCTGATGGTTGGATGTTGCTCAGAGCCCAGGCGTTGAACACCAGAATTTGGAATGAACAGCCGCCCTTGACGACATTGACTCAATGTGTTGCCGTCGTTTGCATGAGGTTGTGCCTGTGTCTCGATACCGACTGAAACGAAGTCACTTGATATGCATGGTGCGTAATTGCGTCATGTTTCCGAAATCAAAGTTCACACCTGAGTAGTGTGGGGAGCTCTATCAAAATCGTTGACTCGCAAAGCTTCTCGTCCGGATCTTTCACGTTGGTTCACATCGCATCAAAGTAGGCATCCATGGCCTGAGCATGAGGCGCTGACTGCAAATCTCCGTGACCAAGACGATATAGAATGTTGGAAGTTCAATGTGGTGACTTCCTGGTCGAAGAGCTTCCCATGACGGGCCGCCTTTGAGGCGGCCCATGTTATGAGCCATCAAAGCAAAAGGAACAAATAAAAAACTCGTAACAAATAATGTTTAAGAGTCTTTATGACTTCCTCGAGCCCAAAATAGCACATGACAAATTCACAAGGACACGGATTGACCATTCCAGCAATGTGAGTTCGTCGTCGGTTGCATGGGATATGCTGACTCACCGTCATTTGACTTACATCAACCAAAATGATTTTGTCTCCAAGGTTTTGCGAGGGGACCAGACACACGCCTCTACCCAGATGTACGTTTCTGGTGATTTTGAACTGGAAACCAGAAATGGATGGATTTGGATAGGAAATGGTTCATTTCCTGGTCATCTCCCCCTAAGAATGAGTTTGGTGCGAGTGGATTTTTATTGTTTTGGCGGCTTTGCTGTGTTTGGTGGTAACTTGCATGTCAGGAGGCATGTGCGCATTCATGACATTTCATGAAATGTCACGGTTCATGTGGGCACATTTTCATGACATTCATGACATGTCAGGGTTCATGTGCGCATTCATCACACTCATGACATGTCAGGGTTCACGACATGTGCGCGTTCATGGTTGTTTTGCATCTTGTTGCGTTTCTGAGTTTTACATGTTCATGAGGCCATTCGCAACATTTCACCACATTCTCATACATGTTCTCCGCAGCTGGTCGGGTTTTTGTTTGCACCTCCTTGGGGGCGGTGGTCAAGTCCTGAGGAGGTCATTTGGTGTTGGTATGTTGGTCCTTGGTTTCCTCTTCTGAGCCTTTCTTCTGCAGCCGTTTTGGCTTCATTCATGACTGTTACTGTGGCTTGGGTGTTTGTTTGCAGCGTAATGATCTGAGAATTGGGGAGGTATATACATGTGGTCGCCGCCGCAAACCCAGAGGAAGGCAAAAGGGAAGAAGTGCAGCAGAAGCGTGTCCTTTGCTCAGTTTGCTTTTTGCATCTGTTATTTTTCAATTTTGAGATTTGTGGAATATCAGTGCTGCAGGCCACACGGCCGAAGGTTGAATAAGACTCCACCTTTGCCAAAACCTTCAAGCTCTGATGTCTACCAGTGTCTGAGCGATGATAATGGCGATGAGCTAAGTGTAGCTGAAAAAGAGCTTCGGGCTGCAAAGCGGAAGTACGAGCAGATGCGGTACCACTATGACAGGGCTGTGAAAGCGAGGACGGCAAAGCCGATGCCAACCCAAACCGATTCTCCCTCAGGTGTGCCCCCACCCCTCCCCTCCCTCCCCTTCCTCCCCCCATGTCAGTATTGGTGCTTGCGCTGTCTCTTGTTTGTACTTTTTGGTCTCCATGTCATATGTTGCTTTGTCTTTCTTTTGTGAGGACATGCCTTTCTGAGAGCCTAGGGCTTCGCGCCTTCACTGTGGGAGAAGGAGCCAATTGTGGAAGTGGGCACTTGAAAGAATCGATAATTGAAAGAAGCCCCCTAGCTTTGCCGTGCAGTGTAAATAAGTAGTAAGTAGAAAGTTGGAAGTAGGAAGTAGGGAGCAGGGAGTAGTGAGTAGTAAGTAGTAGGTAGCATGCCATGTGTACAGCACAGAGCAGACCTTTTACCTACTGCTGTGTCAGCCTTGCACCCTTATCTGCATAAATGTCGCTGCTTCTCCGGATTGGCTGCATGTGACCACATCCAGTTTGACTTCTACTCTTGCAGTCACCCCTTCTCGGCCAACGTCCCACCGCTGCACCGCACTCACACCCACTAAGTTGGCTTTCTCGCTGCGGCCAAAAGGGCCGGCGGAACAATCCGCAGGTGTAAATACCCTGTAGCTGGACCTCCTTGCAAAGGCTCAGCAGATGAAGCTACTCAAGCGACTCCGCCAGGTGGAGTACCTCTCAGCCTTCCGTGGCTTCATGCACTCTCAGTCGCAGCTTGCTGGTGATCTTTCCTTCCCGAGCTTCATTGCCAACTCGAGGCGCTCTCGCGACATTTGCAGTATAGAATCTGTCCATGCATGAATCCAGCTGATGCACCAGAAGGGCTTGTGCCTGTCAGGTGGGGCAGGGGTTGTGTTGCTGGGGATGCTTCTTTCATTGATTCTTTGCAGGAGTGCATCTGGCAAAGTCTCCTACATAGTGAAGGTGCCTTCACTTGCCGGTCAAATGAGGTATAGATCCAGCTGCAATGACTTTGGCTTTGGATCACGTGGGGCCCTTGCCCTTGCGGTTTAGAATATAGGTTCGTTGATCAATGCCTTTTGCTCAGGACTCGGCTGTTGACAGTGGGCATGGCTCCGCTGGCTAAAAAGTTTTTTGCGCAAAGGGACTGCTAGCTTGCATCTTTGCCTGAAGCTCTTAGCAAGCGTCGTTCATGAAAGACTTCTGAGGCCACAGATGATAGCATGGGAGGCGGGCTTGAACCTACAAGGGTTCTTGCTTTGTTGGAAGTGTGTGGTAGGCAAGAAGAGGGTAATAGCCTTTAGCTCTGCCGTTTGCTTGTGTGTTCTTCAGTCTGTGTAACTGAGGCCTTTGAACGGTACTGTGGATGGGAACCATCGAGATCGAGCTTGCCAAGAGACCTTCCTCTGCACTTCGCCATGCTATGTAGGTTTTGCAATGTGCTTTCACTCATTCAATAGCTTTTTCACGCAGGCATGCTCATGGCACTCATGAGTTCGTGAAAGACGTGCATGCCATTGACAACATGCCACGCCACTCACGCCATGACATTTTTCAATGCTACATCATGTCACTTCAAGCCATTGATGTCACAAAGTTCAGCCACATCACGTTCACCACATGCACTTCATGTCATTCATGAGCACGCCATTCATGACATTATACGCCATGATGTTTGTGGCATGTATGGACCGCAGCCGTTTCACTCGAGATCTACTTTGCCCGCTGAGCCAGACATGCCTCGCCAGCTCAAACAACTGCTGGATGACCCGGAGCTGACAGAGAAGTATGAAGGCTTTTGAAGAACCAGCGTTGCAAAATGTAGGGTTTGTCTGTGTGTTTTTGCCGAGGCTGGGTTCAACTTAGTAAGGGCCTACCCGAAAGACTTGAGAGAGGAGGGGGTGAACGTGACAGCGTGAACCGGCACAGGGGGGATTTGATCCAGGGAGGGAGAACGAACGGGGGGGGGCCCCCCCCCCGACGAACAGAATCAACTCTTACAGGACCGAATTCAATGCACAATCCTGATTGTAATACATTTTTGCTAAAGCAAGGAGAACTCAGGTAGCTCAAGCTACCTTTCGTGATGTGCCCATTGTCTCACCCATGTCCTGGCACCAAATCCGACCAGAACCACGGCACCGCTTGCGGTGATGGTGCTCCTCAACAACCCTCAGGACCCGAAGAAGAGACCGCGAGGAGCCGCGAATCGCGACGTGCTGCGCCTGCAAAGTGGTGGAACTCCTGCAGGTCCACCGTGTCACTGGCATCCTGAAGGATTGGTTTGCGAGTAAAACTACCCTGGTGACACCAAGACCCTACCCAAGAAAGAAACCCTCTGAAGTATGAAGTTGGAAGCTACACTGATCTATCTGAAAACGTCAAGAAGTTCTCATCCCAGGCCTAGGAGCCTAGGAAGCTTCTTTGCTGTGAATGCTCATTGAAGAGCATCTAAAAAGAGCTGCCGAAGGGCCCGTGGTAAAATCCACCTCCTCTTAACCCCACCAGAGTTTTAAATATACAGCAGTGTGCCTGTCAGTCATTCAACATATGTAGACAAATAACGCTAGATCGTGGCCCTAATCTGATCTCGGCATTTGCCAATTGAGCATTTTGGAACCATCTAGACTCTAGACTGTATATAATTCGGTCATTCGCTCTTTGAACCATCTTTGACTCAACTGATCTTACAGTAACCTGTAACCGTTCTTTCCGACCCCATTCTTCCCCCACCTCGTCAGCCGGCGCCAGGGCGCTATCGGGGCCAAACTCGCAGAGCGCCAGTAGACGCAAGTGGACCAAGGTCACATCCTGGATAGAATACCCCAAATTCCACATAATAAGTAAGATATGTATTGCATTATTTTTTGTGACATCTACCTTATTGATCACTGTATCACGTAACCACGTAACATTATTTAAATATATATATATATGTGTGTATACAACATCTATATTCTAATGTATTGTACACAAACTGCGCACCCCCTTTTTATGGGCCGCAGGACGGTGGGTGGCACGGACGGTGGGTGGTACGGAGGCCTCTTTTCAATCGGGGTGCCTCGTTTCAATCCGACCAAGTCCGTAAGCTCTTAGATAGCACTAGCACATACTACGAAGATGAAGAAGGCCCCCTTCTGAACTTGAGGCTGGAGCCTCTCCAGACCACTTTTGTGGAGCCAAAGGGCCTTTCGAAATCTGAACCCTGAACCGCAAGTGTTCTGCAAGCCTCTCTGCCCTATAAGAAGAGCGCCAAGTGACTCCCAGCACGACTTGTAAGGTCTGATCCAGCTCGGTGCTCGAATAGTTCCTTAGACTACAGCACTCCGCTCTGTCTGGTGACGCCTCTATCCGCATGAACCAGTCCGACACCATTCCCACGCGGCCGCTTCCGAAGCCGAAGGGGCCGAGGCGGAGGGGTCGAGAAGCGCCTGCTTTCCTCCGTCCCCAGGCGATGGAAAACCCACCCGTTTGGGGCACGGCACGACCCGGCGGGACATGTCTTGACATGGAAAGAACGACCCAGCGCAAGACCCATCGCTGCATCCTAAGCTGCAAAAGGCCAAAAAGCTCCTGGAGAGGCAAGCGACGCAATGCACGGATCAGATCGGCTGGATCCGCAGTCGGAGCAGGAACGACGGAGCAGGATATGGAAAAAGTTGCACTCCAACCATTGCCAACTCGGAAGCAACCCAACCTGCCACGTGGAAAAATCCATTTCTTGCCACGTTGGGTAGCATCCAAACCCACGCTTCAGAACACTACCACCTGCCCTTTCCCAATTGGGGTGTCCTGAAAATCCGGACGAAAACCCACCATTCGCACCTCACCGTTCAGCGTGGTGAGCCCCAGCAACTGTGTGAGGCTCAGGAACTCCGCTCGGCTCAGCGAGCCGCCCTGGCCACCGGTTCGGACCGTGCCGGTGGGCGAACCGTTGGACCATTCAGCGCTGAAGCACTGAAGGCCATTGATGTATCATGTATGGGTCTATACCTGTTACCTGTAGTGGATGATGGTTAGTAAAGGCCTTTGTCCTGTTTACAGGTCATAGGACAGACCCTATGGTATACATGTAATAGGTGTATGCTAAAACTTGTAGTGTAGACCCCGACCTTCGAACAAAAAGCACGGTTGGAAGAGGGACCTGACTGAGACTGAGACAGGGAACTCACCTGAGGCGAACTTTCTGAATGACAAAGGCCATGCGGCATGGATCTGCGAGGCTGCCCACCCACGAGCTAGAAGGACCGATTGCTCCCTCAACTTGATTCATCGTCGTTTCAGCCACCGCAAAGCTTCGGCTGACAGACCATCTGGGTGCGAAGGGCGTTTCTGAGCACCCTTGCCTGAAAAGGAACTCCAAAACATTCATTAAGAAACCCTGAGAAGATCTGGAAGGTTTACCGGACAGCTGAGGAAAAATAAGAAAACCGCCCTTGGAATGCCCTGGGTCCACACCTGTGTTCCCCTTGATCCACCATCCGTGGAGACATGCGCCTGGTCGATGTCGGCCCGTGCCAGGAGCTCTGGTCGGTCGGACGCCACCTCCGGAGCTGCGCAGCGCTGCCGAGCCGCACCACGACGCGAGCGACGGAACGAGAGGCACCCGGCGGGGGGGGACAGCCGAAGTCAGCTGCCCCGGCATCCCCTCGACGGGACAGCCATGGTCGCCGTACCACGGAAGTGAATGGAAGTGAACGGGCATAGCTGGGCCAGCGGGTCGCGGGTGTTAGGTCTATGATTTATGAGGTCTTACTTCCCACCACACTCCCAACCCACTCCTGCCTCAGCCAAGAACAGCCGCAAGCCGCTCAAAGTCACCTAAAAGGCAGTTGGACATCTTTAAGACTTGCCCAATGCCCAAGACTCACAGCCAGTGAGCGGATCAAACGCTAAAACATGGAAGATCTTAGAAAGCACACACCTCTCACCTCACCTCACTTCACCTCACCGCACCACAAAAAAAAAACACCGTTTTCGCCACCGTTCCCCCCCCCTCACCCCTATCCGACCACCCCTTGCGGCACCGTGCCCGCCACCGACTCGAAGCGTTGGCGCGGCAGCGCGCCGGAGCTCAAGGGGTCCAGCTGACCGAAGAGGCGCCTGGGACGAAGCGACCGCCCCCGAAAGAGAGGACGAAGAGGCACGGCCGAACGCACCCGGTCGGGGGAGACGGGAGCAGGGGCCCGGAGAAAAGGGTTGGCACCAGGGTCTGGTGCAAGGTTCACCCGAAAAACATCCCCAAAAAGCGAGAATTCCCTTCCTCTTCCAACCTGAAGAAGCCTTGACGGCAACTGGTGGGATAGCTTCCATAATCTGGAAGATCACGAATCTCTGAAACACGGGTTTCTTACACCAAAGAAGGGCCATCAAACACATTCGGTACGCCGCAATGGTTACGGCATGTTATATAAAATGTATTAAAATGTTATATAGTATTGTATAATGTTGTGTAGTCCCCGTGTTCAGCAGTAGGATTTGGAAGGAGGCTGTTGGAGCGCTCTGACCGTGGGGCATTGCGTTCAGGAATGTCGGGTTTTCACTCTGGAGCTGCCATTCTGCACCATCAAAGAAGCTGCTCAATCTTCATGTGCTGAATCTTTGTCAGCTTCCTCCCAGGCAGCAAGCGCGCAACTTCGAAATGGCGATTCTCAGCCTCCCACTGCGAGTCTCAGCTTGCTCCGAGATCGCTAAGCTTTGCTCTAGTTCTAATTCTCAGAGCGGGCATGAGTGAGGTCATTGAGTCAAAGCACCTCAAAGCCTGAGTTTGTATATATATATATAAGTCTACCTGGCCACCGGCCATTGCTTGTTCCGAAGTGCTTTTCGGCGCATGGGCCCATGACTTCAAAATTGCCATTCTGAGCTGCAACCATTGAATACCGCACCTCTGTCGGTTCGAGCTTCGAGCACCAAGCAGCCAACTTCAAATGGCCCTTCGGCCCTTCTAAGCTGCGACCATCAAAGCCGTTGACCCATATCTTTGTCGGCTCCAACTTGAGCAAGGACCGCACAACTTCCAAGTGGCCCTTCTGAGCTGCAACATAGCAAGCCCAAGCTCTATTCTCAGTTGCCCTATCTCTGTCGGCTTCAACTTCGAGCAAGGCTGCACAACATCCAGGTGACCATTCTGAGCTGCAAGAGGGGGGGTAGCGCTGCGAGTGTCCCAACCTGTCGCGGGTTAAGGACACGCAAAGCCACTCGCTAGGCAGAGTCCTCAGGGAGAGTACAAGCTGCCTGCAGGGTTCTACGCCGTAACGTGTGCTCTTCGTGTCAGATGTTTCCCATTTGTTGAAGAAGGTCCAAACAAGAGTCGAGAGTCATCCCAGGGCCCCACCCTAAACGTGCAGCAAAGTCGGAAACCGGACGCGGTAGCACCGCAGCGCAGCGAAAAGCCGGCAGACCCACAGCACATGATCGATGGAAGGGACCACGGGCTCATGACAATACGGACAATGCTGAGGACGGACAGCAGCATGGACAGTAGCAGGAGTGGACATGCCCCCCACTAAAACGGCCGCCGCCTCCCCGGACACCCGTTTGACAAGCCCTTTGAGCAATGACCCTATATGCTCGGAGTACTGCAAATTCAGCTCACGGCCAATAGCAGAATCACGTCGTTGTCGATTTTGCAACCAACTGTTAAACTGCCAAGACCGCCAAGACTCGCGGAAATGGTGAAGCATTTTCCCAAAAGGTGGAGTCCACATACTTTCCAAGCCTGTCAACGCACCCACTGCCTGAGAATGCAGACTTTATGTAGGCCGTTGAATTATAGAGCTCTCCATCAAGAGTCGGCATTCTTCTCATCCCTCCGTCCTCCCCACCTATTCACCTATTCAGCACTCTATTCAGCACTCTCATCCCCGTCCCCTGGGTGCGCTCCATCCCACTTCCCCCGGCTTCAGCCAGGGCGGCCGCATCGCTTCCGCCGGCTGCCAGGCCACCAGTGCTCCTTGAAGCTCCAGCGCGACGGAGTTGGCAGGGTACCTGAGGAAGGGGCCCTAGTAGCTTCTTGCTCCTAGTAGCGATGCCCTTTGTTCTAGTAGCGTCCTTGCCAGGAGCCCCTGGTAGCTCCTTGCTCCTATATAACGGCACAACGAGAGCTTCCTGTAATGTGGTTGGGAGATTGGTGGAACAGCACGCCAGGTCCCCTGAGCCCAAGATAATCATCGTGGCGTTTGGCCTATTGAAGTCACGAGAGGAAGTGCCAGACCTCGGGCCCAACATGCCGTCTTTATGGACTTGCTATACAAACCATATCCAAACAGATCTAAGCCAGGACCTTCCAACAGCTTGTTTGTTTGGCGGTTTTTGGAAACCCCTCCTAGAATGGACTTGTTGGGGCTCCCGGCCCGGCTGCGCGGACCGCCAAGTCCTGTACGGCAGCGGACCGGTCCTGAGTGGCTTCGCCCGTTGCGTTTGGTTGCTTTGGTCCGGCGCGGGTAGAGCGTTGGACCGGAAAGGATGGCCAAATGGCCAGACCCTGGAAGCAACCCCTCTATCAATACCATTCAATACCCACGTTCTGAAAAGTCGGAGGCTGGGTACACGAATCTCTTGCTTCATGAAGGCTTCAATCACGACATTTGAGACTTTTGTGGGCGGAACTTCCCAGAGGACGAGTGAGTTTTTGGTTCTCTTGAGCCCGTTCTCCAGTCGGTTCTCTGGGTGGGAAGCTCCATGTGTGTGGTGGCATGTGCACACGGTTCACCCATGTATCCCTTTTTCGGCCCTACCCTCCGCCGACCCCTCCACCTCTGGCACTCCTGGCCCTCCACCTCACGTCCAACCTGAGCCTCTGGGAGCTTCTCCAAGGCTCGTTGGCAAAGTAGCTCTTCAGGCAGGCGCGATACGCCGTGAGCGACCCCCGGAGGAGCAACTGCGGCAGCCTGAAGGATCCGATCAGCGCTGGTTGGGGTGTGAAAATGAGGAGAGCTCCTTGGCACCAATCAATCAATTATCAAACATGGCTTGCAACAAAGTGGGCCCCCAAAGCAGTGGCCGTGGCCCCATGTAAAACACCTCATCCACGGTTTCCCGCTACTCTTTGCAAAGCGTGCACCGAACTACGACAAACAGATCAAACAGGGGGTAAATCCTGTTGAACGTCGAGAATCACCACACGTCCATCGCACGTGAACTCCGTTTGACTTCCGCCCACTTCGATGCTGCAGCTTTGGGGGAACGTTCAGAACACACAGCTCCGCCCAACACCAGACCCTTTTGGACCCTATCTTGGGTGCCAACCAACTAAGAACCACCCACCCACCCGTCCCCCTCCCCGGTCCATCCGTCTCCGGCCGCCTTGGGGCTGAAAGGGCGAAGAGGTCGACGAAGCCGTCGGAGAGGACGTCCAGCTCCGCGTGCAGCGCGCGCGCGGGGGCCTCCCCGACGCAGTACCTGCTTCGACGGGGACGGTTCGACCGCGGGGACCCACCGCGGGGGACCCACCGTGTGAGTGCATCCCAACAAAGGAGAACGACTGGGATCATTGAATGGTGAGCTGCCTTATTTTGAGTGTCCAGCCTTGGCGAGGTGAGGACCGGCACATGGAGGACCAGCACCGAACAAGGATAGGACCAAAAAGGATAGGACCAAAGGCTGCCTCTTCTCACAGAGAAGTTGGCTCAAAACAAGAAGATCAATTGAGCTTGTGGATACCCAAATGCACGTCAGATCTATCTTCTGCTGATCCGATTGCATCATGTGAGGCGCCCCCCCCATTGCATTCCCGAAACTCTTCCGCCCGAAGTCCACCAGCCCAACCAGAAGGGCCGTTCCTCTGGGGAAACCGAGAAGGCCCCCGACACCCTTCAGACATCGACACCCAGGATCGCCCACTGTGCCCCTCCACCCGCCCACTGATCCTCCCCGTATCCAGGTCACAGCTCCGCTTGTGCCACCAGCTCCTCCGGCTGAAGCTTCTGGTCCCCGTCATCCGCCGCCACAAGCGCGCGGAAGAAGGCGTCGCCGGCGTCCGCGCCGTCGTCCCCGTCATCCACCAACTGGCGATAGTCGCAAAGCGCCAAGTGGCTGGTGCGCACCAGGAGGCGGAGGGAGGACTCCACGAGGAAACCTGACTGCTGGCAGGTGCTGGCCGGAATAAGTCTTGGATTGCGTGGATGAGCGGGGGCTCTTTTAGCACACACGCTGAGAAAGGATTGCGAGAGATGTTAGATGTGTTGACATAGTTCTATATGTGTTCATCACCTGGACCTAGCTGATCTGCCCAGGCCATCTCCTCCGTCCTGCCCACCTGCCTACGAAGATCATCCAAGCCACAGCACTCGGCAGGTGGCGAACAGCTACTGGATTTGGGTGGGTTGGAACACCTACAATGTTTCAGAGTCGATTATTTGCACAATCCTCAAGAAGTCAAGAAGTGCATTATACTCTCAAACCACTGTATCTATCCCTGTGACTTCTGTGATCCACCTCATCCCTACAATGTTACAAGTGCGTTGAGGAGCCCATCTGCCCCACGTCCAAGCGCTGAAAGAGCTCTTGCGCGTTCAGCGCACTGATGAGGTGGGAGGACAAACCGCTGGCCCACTCGCCTGCTGGCGCAGCGAGTGGCAAGGGCCGCAAAAACATGTGCAGACCACAGAAGCCCTCGATAATGAAGTGAAAAACATGTAGAATCATGTAGTAGGATGCCATTTTGCGTGCAGCTCCGTCTTTCATGCCCATGTCCCGCTGTTCTGTTGGCGCTCAGTACCCCCGTTGGACCACGCGCAAAACGCCACCAAAGGTGGAAACCCGGAACCGGTCTGAGCATCGGCATTCAAGGCGGCCGTCTCCGACGTTCCTGGCGGACCGGGCCCCTTCCCCTCCATCCCATCCCGAAGGTCCAAGAAGGAAGGAAGAGCTTCCCCCCTCGATGTGTCCTGACCGGCGTCAAACTGAGCCCTGACCGGTGTCGGCCTGGCCTGGGCTCACCTGAGCATCTCCACTGGTATCCAGAAACGACATCAGCTGGTCGCTGGTCTCGTACTCCGCCTGCATTCGACCACACCCCGAGTTCGTGGCTGACGAGACCACCCACACATTGGGTCCTACTGCGACTAAGCCAGGGCCTAAAGGGCCTAAGGCAAAAACGGGAGTTGTCAGATGATCTAATCAACCAAAGTCCAATAAGTCCAATCACATGGCCCTTGTCGCCAGCGTTGCACGGGCCCGCCGCGTTGAGACCGGGGCCGCTCCTGGAGGAGCAGCCGCAGCGCCGAGAGGTGCAGGTCGAAAGACATGGCATCCAGCTGACCTTGGCCAAGCCGTGTGGAAACTGGAGCACGGCGAAGGCCGTTGGCCGTTGGGCCGTGGGTTGGCACGAGAAACCCACGAAACCTGATCGAGCCAGGAAACTTTGTGGAGTGCGTCCACTGTTTTACAGCTCCTCTGCGCAAACCACTCCAAGCATCCTCCCAAAATGCAGAGCGGCCCCACCTCCCACCTCCCCCTGGCTCCGCTTCGCCCAGGCGACGCTCCGTGAGCCGCACTTGCCCCACCGCGGGGCAGAGCGCCTGCAGCGTGGCGGCGGCCTCGGCCTCGCTGCGGCCCAGGCTGCGGACCATGAAGCGCTCGAACTCCTGGAGGGGAGGGCGTGGATCGCCGGGTCCGGGCCGGGACAAGTGTAGATCCGAGGTGCCAAGCGACTTTGACTTGTAATATCTTCCCTGGAGGATCCAGGTGCCTCTTTAAAAAAATTGTCTTTGGGAGACCTGAAAAGGAACTTCCTTTACTTTAGTCGGTCTAAATATAGTCTTTGGACTTCTAGGGTCTTGTAATTGTCTTGCGCCTTGTGAACATTGACATTCTTAGGGCAAATTGAGCTGGGGGGCTTGAGGAAGGGAAAGGTGTCGCTCATCTCTTCTCCCTTGGCAGCGCGCGGTCCGCACCGGCGGAGCTAGAGCAGCTCCATGCTGCAGGAAGGTGGAGGGGTTTTGTGGATCCTTCTGGGGGACAGACGGCATATCCCTTGAATTGGATTTCATCGCATCTGGCGGGATATGTTAAGGAAACACTCTAACTCTAACTGTATATATATTCTCTCTCTCTCTCTCTGTCTCTCTCTCTCTCTCTCTCCCTCTCTCTCAGACCCTTGTTTCTGCCACCTCGTTGGTCACAATGCCACTGGAGTCGGTGTCCATGCTGGCGACCTGAGCACGTGGGATTGTGAAAATGTGTACTCACTCAGATGCTCCAAACAACTGAGTTGTCATCATCGTTTGCTTTTACCTGTTGTGATATGGTTTGATGGTGCGCCCCGGTGACGACAAGAACAGGCCGCCCAAAGAATCAACCCTTCTTCATCCCAGAGGCGTAGCACTGCACTGGCCCTTGTCGTGACCAGGGGTTCGGCCTTCAATTGAAGAAAACACCCTCTTGGGTTGAAGCCGGTCGGTGAAGGATTCTCGTTCTCTTTCTGGCCTGGAGCGACTGTGGAATCCGAAGCTCCTGCTGTCCCGCCCCAGCTCGCGCCCCTCGCTCCGAGGCACCGCCTCGGCGCGGCTCCCAAAGCGCTGCTGCAGCACCGCTCGGAGGCTCACCACCGGCGAGACCGCCAGCGCGGTCCGCGCGGCGAGCGCGAGCGCGAGCGCGAGCGCGAGTGCGAGGGCCTGGACAGCGCGGGCGCTGGGGCGGCGGAAGGTCGGTTGGGTGAACCAGCAGGGGTTCTTGGACAGTTGTTTAGGCCCTGAAATTCAAACCGTGCGCAAAGTTATGCCACAGAAGCCACTAGGGCCGGTTGGACTCGAAAGAATCGATTGGGATTTCGATGGCCAACGAACAGAACCTACGAAGAATCATGCAAAAAGGAATGGAGACCTACTCATTCATGGATGTGGTCTGGATGTATCGCCTGGTTTTGTGCCACCAATTTGGCCCTCAAAAAGATAAACTAGTTGAGGCCCCTTCTGCAACAAGTCGACCAAAAAGACAGAACAATTCCCAGAAAAGAGAAAATAAAATAATCAAACGCACTCTTCTTGCGCAACTCGTTTCAGAAGAAAGTTGCATCATGATCATGTTGCATCCCTACCCCCAAAACCACAGTGGCACGGTGTGGTCCGAAGTAAAACTACCCCCTTTTGGATTCGTGATTCTGGCAAGGCTACCTCCAGCCTTTTGCTGTCCCGCCCAAATGCTGTGCCTTCCACATTTGCACCATCTACATCATGGAGGGTAGCACACTCATTGCCACCCCCACCCCTGCGAGGGAAGGCCCCGCGCAGGGCGGGCCCTCCGCCGGGCCCTCCGCCGGGGCTGGGTGATCGACCCGTCCAAACCGAAGAGCTGCGCGGCCAGGAGAATGGCAGAGCACGACAGGAACGGAAGGGCTCCGACCGACCGCGCGGTGACGGCTCACCATTCCACCAGAAAATGCATTGAGGTTGATCAGGGCACAATGGCCTCGTCGCAGAATAAGGAGATTTCACCTGAACGTATGACATTGGAGCACCATGCATCCTTTGTCTCTTGGTCTATGTTCCTCCCCTCCCGTCTGTTGAATAGAACAAGTGACACCATTGCACGCGCATGTACACACCACAGTTCGAAAGCGAGGCCCTCCAATGATCTTTCAACAACAGCCCACTGTGCCACTATGGCATCGTGCTTTGTCGCTTTCCGTTGATTTCTCTACATGTGGGTGTGCTGCATGTTGCAAGCTTACTTCAACCAATGCCCCTACGCCACCGCGCAGTGCACATTCCCCAATCAAAAGTCTCTTTTTCATGCCCAAACCCACGGCCATCCCGACACCGACGCTCGCTCGCTCGCGAGCCACCGCGCGTCGCGCGCCGCTTCGGGGGAGCATCTTTTACTCCGTCTGGGCCACCCAGTGTGGGCTCCTTGGACCCTTCTTCGGGCTTCGCTGTTGGCCTCGGCCCACCCGCTGCCGCTGCAGAAGGTGGAGTGGAGTGGGTCAGCCACCTTCAAGAATAACAGTGTGTCTCCAAATAGTGTGGGCAGACTGGGTGCTTGGAGTAGGCGTTAATTGGGTTTGATCGAGGGTGCTCACATCGGCAGCTAAATCACTGCCAACTACACCACCTAGTCTGAGAAGCTGCTGGGTGCGAACGAGTGCTTTGCTCGACTGCGCTCTCATTGTGGTGCCGTGCACATTTTCGGACTTGGTGATCACTTTTCGCGCCCAGCGCTGGGAGAATGCTCGCGCTTTGGTGATTTGAGGTCAACTTTGGATGGCGCAGGAGGTCGGGGCTGTTTTACTTCGATGTGCACATTTCATGGCAAGTGCAATGCTTTGGACTTGGTGGTGATCTTTGGCTTGCGCATTGCTGTGGACTTGGCAGTCGCAGCGAATCGCACTGGCCCGACATTTGTGGCTCGTCTTGCCTTCGTTTTGGGCATCTGGAATGTTTCTTTGGGAGCTACTGTTGCGAAACGCAACTTTGAGCCTGTGGCGTTGAGACTTCCAACGGAAGCTGTGGCGGATGTGTTCACAGTGGCACAAAGTGGATGACTGCTGGTCGTCCGAATGCGGAAAAATGCTCTCATGTGTTTGCTCACATGTGTGTGCTCTCATATCTGTGTTGCTCAATTTGTGTGCTCTCATACGTGTTCTCTATGTGTGCGTTCTGACATGTGCGGTCTCACAGGTGTGCTTATGTGAGATATGTGTGCTCACTCACACCTGTGCTCTCATATCTGTGCTCTCATTTGTCTCCTCAGCACACATATGTTCATCTTTGTGCTCTCATATGTGTTTGTGTGTGTGTGGACATGTGTGTGTGCGTCTGTTCTCTTTTATGTGTGCTCTCGGGCGTTTGCTTATATATCTGTGTGTGTTCTTGCACTAAAGTCCGCTTTATTCATCCTTTTGTTGCGCTATTCTGCTGTGTTTAAGGGGTCACAGACCACGGGATCACAGACGGCCCCGTCTTGGTACCGACCCAGCTTCGGGACTCCTTTCGCCCAGCGACTTGGGTTGCTTGGACTCCCCTCCGGTGACTGCGGCGCAGGCGCTGCAGCGGGCGCTGCAGGCGTCACAGGGAGAGCCGGGCGCGGTGTTCGACGCCGACACCAACAGCAGCGGCAAAGGCATCCCAGAACAGTGACCAGAGCTTGGAGCATCAGTGCCTGCAACATCAGCAGCCCTCTTCGGTCTCTTTCCGACTTTCCCACATCCTGCACCGCAAAAGAAGAACCGCCCACAAGGCCACCCATGTCCTCCCCCCTCCCTCCCATCACCTGGATCATGGACAGGTACAGCCCCACCAGCGCAAAGTCCAGCGGCTCGGCTGGGATGCGAAAGCGCCTCCCGGGCGGACGCTCAGCCTCGAAGGCATCCACCACCGGCAGCCGTGGCGCCGACCGCGCCGCCACCCAAGATGCCTCCCACTTGCCAAGGGCCTGCCACGCGGCCACGCGCGCTGGCAGCGCGAGCTGCTCCAGGTGGCTGGCAGCTGCAGCGAGGTCTGTGCCAAGGAAGTGCATTGAGTGCGCCTGAGCGGCGGTGGCAAAGTTATATAGAAATATAACAAATATTTATGCATTTTTGATATACATTATATAACACATACAGTAAATATGATATCATATGATACAGTGATACAGTTATATGGACCGTGTCGCCATTCTTCCGCGCGTCAGGCGTCAGCCGACCACACCACAGTGGCATCTTACATGCAGTTTGTTTACAACTATTTTTGTTTCACACATACATAGCTATTAGCAATTGCAAACATGACTTCCAAACTTTGCTTACACAATGCGTGCTCTCAAAAATCTACCCTACCCAGTGGCTTGCGCCTTGCACGAGGCAGCGTTGTGACACAACTCTTTCATCTCGGTTTTGACAGGTTTTGACCCTTGCTCCCCTAAATGGCACCACAATAAAAAGGACGTTTAGCCGCTTTTCTTCTTTCTGGCGCTAGCAGTTCTGACGCTCCAGTCCGAGTCCAACATCAACACGACGTGCGACAGACTTGCGATCCATCCGACCTTCAAAATCACCCCTCTCTCCACCTCTGGTCTCCAGTCCCCGCCGTGCCACTCTCCGCGCCTGCATCTGTTCCCAGGTCTCCCAGCTCAACTGCCTCAGCTGCACCTGCATTGGTGCTGCCCACGCGCCAACGGTGTGCCACTCAGGCAGCAGTGCCACGGCCGGAGCCACCACTGCGTAGCCCAGCTCCAGCGTTGAGGACACCGACGCCATGAGCTGAGCACCTCACAGCGGGCTGGGGTGGAGGCAGGAGGCCTTGCGGCCCTGGGCCAAACAGGCCAACGTCTTTTTGGGATTCCCAGATGCTCCGGACAGGTCGGGCCGGTGAACCGAGTCAAGATGTGCCGAGTGTATGTTGCTGAACAACCGCCACAACTGACAGGTGAAACTGGACTGAAAGCAACTCACCAGCTGAACCAGGGGACCTGAAGAGCCGTTTGCATCGATATTGCTCGGAGGACCCCATCTCATGTGTGTTGCTGCACATCGGCTCGAACATACCGAGCGTAAATAGGCTTCTCTTCTTGATTCATCATAGACCTCCCATTATTCCCATTTGGATCCATTTGGATTGAAAAACCTCTTCACAAGTACATCGTTCCCAGCTTTGGGTGTGTGAGTGTGCACCACATGGACGCAGACCCCCAATCAAGAGATGCCGGGAAGACGATCCGCACCACCGAACGGTCGTCGCCGGGAAGACGCCTGTGAACAAGGGCTCTTTCTCGTCACGATGTAGCCCACTGAACCAGGCTTGGACCGACCGGCTTGAGTGAAGGACTCGCTCCCAGTCAGCGAGACCTCAGCTTGATTTTGCCTCCGCGTCGTGTCAGTTTGAAAGGAACATCCATCTTGCTGGACCCTTCCGCCCTGAACAAGACTCCATCGACTCCCATCGCGCGGAGCATCTTCCATCCGCATGGATCCATCCGAGCCAAGCATCCGTCCAGTTGGAGCCCCTCCGCCTGGAGCAGCAGCCACTGCCGCACGGACTCCTCGTCCGCTGCGCGCAGCGGCAACGGCCAGCGTTGCCTTATGGGAGGCTGCGGCCGCAGCCATACCCGCGCAGCTAGTGACATCCGGCCGGCCTTCTCCAACACTCCAAAATCCCAACCAAACAGCTGGTGCAGGGTCCAGGCCATCTCCATTTAAGTTGATGCTAGCCAGTGACAAGTGCAACATGTGAACGATGGTCAGCGCTTGGAACGAAATCGAACTCATGAGCAACCAACCCACTCAACTAAACATGTGTGTAAATGGTTTTGAGCTGGTTGCTTCTCCGGCAAGCGGTGCCAAACACTACCCGTTTTCTGACGATTGGAAGAGGGCGGTCATCCCATGACTGGTCGCCATGCTCGTCCGTCGTTTTGTGGGTTGAGACGAGATCTCCCAAACGAACGGATACCAACCGGCGGGCTTCGGATCGTTGCCACGACCGTGCGGGTTGGATTGGAATCACTGTCCCACTGCGATTGCATCACCCGCATCGCCAAATCCCCCTGCCATCCAAGGCTCAGGTTGCAGGCCCCTGGGTGGACGGCCTCAGCCACGTAGAGGCAAGTCTTCACCTGCAAAGAGAAGGCCCCACGGCATGTTTAGAGTCTAGTGCAACCCTGTGGCAGGTTGTGGGTTCAAAGCACCGCCACGTTGGGATTTTTGATTGAAACAGGGCAGCGCTGTCCGCAGAGATCAAGTGCATTTCCGGAAGAATCCGTGCTGCCCGGACCCTCATCGAAGCGCGCTTGCGCCTCCTCGAGGCGCGCCAGGCCCACATCCACGCCACACACAAAGTGCACTGCCACAGCTCGCGGGGTGGCTCCGCATGGCTGGCCGCCAGCGAAGATCATGGTATGTTCCTTGGCGCCCGAGGCATCTTGGGCGTTCCGGGTCATTTTGACCCTTGGCCCCATCACCCCTAGTTTGCCTTGCTCCACCTCTTGCACCCCAAAGCCACAATACTAGGATTCTGGGGTCCGGAGCAAAATTTCTGCTGCTGGAAACCCTGGCCCAACACCATAAGTAGCTGGCTGAGGCGCCGAGGGCTCAAAGAAAAGTTCTGGCAAGCCGACGCGCTGTGCGTTGAGGCCTGGCAGCCAATGTCGCCAAGTCAATCGACAGACGAGGAATCGACATTGACCATACAGCTACCGTAAAATTAAAGGACGAAGACTTCACAAACGCCGGCGAGGGAGAATCGAACTCCTACCTGTCCCCAGGTCCCATGGACTGAAGCCATGTCCAGACACCAGTCTGACTCACGCCGGCACCCCTAATTATATGGGCTTGTCGTCGGGAACTGCCGCAAATTGCATGGAGAACGTGTGCAACGCCAGCTCCTGGCTCTGCCCTACCAACCGACCAGCCAACCAACAAGCTAACGCGCCGACCAATCAGCCCACAAGCCTGGCTTCCAGAAGCCAACGGGCCTTCCCAGGAAAATCACCTGGGCCTCCTCCACCTGCATCGCTCGGCCGTGCCTTCTGCATCGAGCGCGTCGTTTTCATGGGCTGTGGGGAGTGAAGGCTGATTGCCACGTCCGTTCCCTCGCTGCCAGTTCCGTCAGTTCAAGGACCCCATCGCGTCCACGTCCCCTCGTCGCGGCGGTCCCCCGCTCCCGTCACCTTCACCTCTTCGCACGTCCCCGACTCGTCGCAGGCGGTTTCTCCCGCGACGGCGGACTTGATTTCCTGCTGCGTGGCTTTCTGGTAAAAGCCTGGGCCAGGTGGGGCGACGCCAAGCAGGAAGCTGCCACGCAGAAACCGAGGTGTTCCTGATGCTTTTGGGGGAAACGAGGTCCTCGGTCCTCGCACCACCACCTTTTCAGAACGACCATGCTGATGAGACACAAGGGGACGATCAGAATTCCTGAATCAAACCCCCCTCAGAACACTCAAATTCCAGCCAATCCTTTGACCCACCCTGGTGTAACGACATGCAACATGCAAGCCATAAGCCGGAAAAGTTATCAAAACTCAAGGCAAACAAGCAGCAAATGCTGTAAAAGAAGGTGTGCCACTGCTCCCGCACCGCCGTGGTCCCCACATATTGGTCTTGTGTCAAATTCAGGCACTGGCCATGCAAGCCATGGTAGGCTCCTTGAGGGCCTCCCAGCTGAAGCGTTAGACTTGGGAGTCCTGGGTGGAGAACAATACCCCCCGTCGTTCTGAGCTCTTCTTATATACTGTATGACAGTTCTGCTGGTTGTCGCAGATTGTCAGGAAAAACCAAGCGGTTTTTCTTCCAAGGAAATGCCGTCATACATACGATTGATGAATGGAGTCATTGTGACTTGTGACGTGTGGGAAGAAGCTCCGACGGACAAGTGGAAGCACAGAACGACTCGCAACGTCTACTCCAACCGATAGCGGGTCTTGAAGTGAATGACCGGGCCGGCACATGCTTCAGTGGCCACAATTGAAAACTAGCGAGCCGTACCCAACATTCGAAAAAGCAACGCTGCCAAACTTGGGAGAATGGTCTGCGTCCACTAGGTACGCACCCTGCTCGGCGACGTTGCTCATTCTGAAGCAGCCACATGTCCCTTCGGGCCTAGCTGGCCAGTCTTGACCTTGGTAAGGTGAGTCGGGCGAAGGGATCATGCCACCATCATCAGCGGCATAGTGCCATCCTGTCCTCTCCCACCCTTCGGTCTTTTGGGGTGCTGGTTTCCCATCTGTTCAGAATGGATGCATTCTGAATGGGGTTTGGTATTTCAGGTGCACCCCATTCCCTACCACCCAGTCAATGATGGTGGTCAGGTTGGCCAACATCTCTCGAATAGTGACCATTCTTGACTCTTGACTCTTGACCGACTGTTTCATATACAGGCAATGGGACACCCCCAAAGGCCTGGCCCAAGGCTCGGCCCGCGCAGGCCCTTGTGGACCTCCCAAGGGTCTCCAGTTTCTTTCGTGCCCGGACCTTCGACCTTTCGACGTCGAAGCAACGTCGGACGCCGGCAGATGCAAGCGGACGCATCGACGCTGCCCGAGCAGCCTAGAAGAACGCGAGCAGTGACCCATCGAAACTGGAGCCTGTTCGGTCCTTCCCCTTTTCGGCCGTCCAAACTGCCCCCCCTGGCCGTGTGGAGAGACCACACTCCACCCTCCACGAGCGCCTCTGTCCCTGACTGACTCGCTGCCGGAGGACCAAATCCATCATCCCCGACTCCGTCTTGGCTTCCTGCAGTTCCTCCAGCACGCCGCGCGACTTCCGCTGCAGCCGCGCCAGCTTCTGCCGGAGTTCCAGCCACCTGGGAGTTGACAGGCGCCTCGAGGATCCCCCTGCTGGTCAGTTCAGCGGTTAGCAGCTCCAGCTACACTGAGCAAGTCCTCCACCCACACCCGTAGGTGAACCCACTTGATTGGGGCTATAGCACACATGAAATGATCCTCCTGATGGTAATCTCGCCCTTTGAACTCCCACGTGCACATAAATGCTAGGGAGTCGGGCGGTCTTCCAACCACTCAGAAAGCACGACAGGCTAGGCTAACTCTTCACTCTCTGTCGGCCAATGTTCTTCGTCAAGGGAAAATCCTCCCGATCAAAACATCTTCTGGGCTGGATTTGGGCACTTCTGAGCCTGCTCTAACAGTAGCTGGGGTGCAAAACAAAAACACGGTGCAAGGCAGTGAGAACTCCTCTCCACGTGGCCGGGCATCATTGTTGCTCCACCCCTCCAGCAGCACCAAGTGCTCCACTGCGGCAGCCTCGATGATCCCCTCTTCGCCTTTCCCGTACTGCGCCATCATCCTCGGAGTGGGATCCATCAGTGCCCTAGAGGGCCGGACACAACCCAAAGGCCACAAGAGGCCCCAAAAACGAGGTTTCTTCGACTGGACCTGACTCGCCAGGCCGGCTGGATGGCGGCCCTGGGCTGGGCCCGTCCATCCAGGGGTGCACCAGGAGATGGTTGGAGTAGATTCTGAGTAGATGCTCATGATATTTCACGATTCCTAGATGATGCACTATTCTCTTCACTTCGAGATTCGGGGAGTTGACAGGTATTGGATGTGCCTTGAACTTCCAGGTTAGAAAGTTTACTCCTAGGTTAGGTGCCTTCGTGCGTTCAAGAAGAGCTGTCCTTCACCCATGAACCTGTTTGAGCATCAATCATCACTTCCAATGGAGCCTCCACTAGTAAACAGGCTTGGCTATTGAACGCGGACCTGCCACGCTTGGAAAACCCACCCCTTACGCTTCTTCCTTCAAGACTTGCAAGACTTCCTGGAATCCTTATGCACCATATCCCACCCATTTCCTCCTCAAATCCACTCAGGCTCTGCTCCATCCGCAGCGCATCCGGGTCGTACCCGAAGAACACCCACTCCTTCGCATCACCCGACGGGATCCCGTCGTCCCGCTGCAGAGCGCAGGTGCCGTTGAAGTGGCGGGAGTCGGCGCAGAGGTAGGCACAAACCGCCCAACACCTGAGGTGTTGGTAGGCTCAAGTGACATGCACGACACTTACCACGTTACCACGGACACTAAGTGGTGAAGTACATCGAAATACCATCCTCTCCAAAAAAGGGCACAGCCATTGCCTGAAGGTTTTTTCCCCCCCCCTTTCGGGTCTTGGGTCGAGCGCTCTCTCGGACCCTTTCTGTCACCTGTGGAAGGGCAAATCGCAGGCTCAGCTGCGTACGTTGATCGACCAAATGGGCCCCTTTGTTGGAGTGGGCCACCCACACGGAACAGAACGAACGTCTACGAATGTCTACCTATATACAACGGTGTAAAACCTCAGTTGAGGCCGTGGCTCAACCAGTAATGGATAGGGTCGAATGGCATAGGCGAAGTGGATCGGGGTCGATGCTTCAACGCCTCCGCTGCGCTCCGCTCCCCGCCGCACAGGTCGGTCGCCGGGTCACTGCTCGGCGGGCACGCAGGAAGCGTTCGCCGCGAGGTCCATCTTCTCCCCGGCCTTTTTGGAGCGGTCAGACGCTCGAGGCAGAAGACCATGGGTTCACACGCATGTGATATATATATATATATATATATATATATTCTGCTGGCATTTCTGTGTCAACATTGACCTGTCATGGAGATTGACGGGCAGAGGACCATCTGGCATTGGTCGACGGATAGGTTACAACATGTTCACCGCCGCAAGCCATCACCTATTGATCGGCTTTAGTTTTCTTGTCTGCGGTGCCATGCCATTTCGTGCTCTCAAAGTGCGGGTCTAGAGTCTAGAGTCTATCTTGTTCAAAGGACTGGTGATGGCAAAGTTGAGTAAAGCTTAAAAGTTCAACCAACTGCACGACTGGCCCAACTGAGACCAGCTCTGAAGCGACATCCCCGCCACGCTGTCTCTTTCAGGCAAAGAATGACAAATTGATAAGGGCGACCCAAGTGTTGGAAACAGACCCGAAAAGTGATCAGCGGAATCCTTTCAGGCTACCAAGCCATGCACCGCTGCAAGACTCTGCAAGGCAAAGGGGCCGGACAAAATTCCAAGAAAAAGAGTTGTTTCTGAGGCTTCTGCATGCGGTGCCATGTCTTCGGTCGGACCTTGTGGCTCCCCTTGGAGTGCCTCGCCTTCTTGAAGCAGCGGAGAAGCGCTCGCCCGGGGCCCTCCACCTCCTCCTTTGTGAGTGGTTTCCTCGGAGCCCGTTTCGTGCGGGCACGTGTCAACAATCCTGGCAAGTGTGTGTGTGTGTGTGTCCACACCTGTGCCTACTACTAGGGCCCCTGGCTCTGCTACTAGGGGATTCTGGTATCGCTACTAACTTGCAGTTTCTTCACGCGAAGAAAAAGAGGCAGGGGGGTGCAGAGCACAGTGGAGACTGCACCCAATGAAGCTATCCACTTGTGCTGGAAGCAGAGCCTGATCAGCTCTGTGCACCTGCAGCGATTTAATCGGTTCAACTGTTGAGAAGCTGTCTCATTCTGTGATTTGCAGTAAGCGGCTAATGCACTACAACAATTTGTTAAACATCTTCAATTTTCCGGACTTCCTCGCCTTTCGGTTTGCACTTTTCTTCCAGTCAAGGGGAACTTCGTACTGATAATAGCTCTTGCGAGCAACTCTCAAAGCGTGTTTCGCCACAGGGTCCCACTGAGGGCTGTGGTGTGATCCCCGTCAAGGGGCGCGGTATATGCACAGACCCACTTTATGTGGGGGATCCCTCCTGAGCATCCGTCTTGCATTTCGGAACTTCATTCGATCTTCTCTGATTGGCTGTGACGCACGATACCATTGATTCCATGCCGCAGGGCCTACTGTGATCAAAAAACCCTGACTTCCCATGGAAACTTGCGTCTAAGTATTCACAGGCGGGTGTACGCACAGTGTTTTTGTTACATGTTTTTCATGCTCTTCGGTTCTTTCTCTCCTTTTGTTGCTTTTCGTTTCTTGAGGCCTTTCTTTAGGTTCCAGGTGTCTTTCAGAGAAGGGTGTGCCGGCCCAAATCGGCTACACTTGAAAGCCAATGATGGCAAAGCCAATGATGGCAAGGCCTACAGGCCACCCTCCCTACCCCTGGGCCTCGGTTGCTATCCCACCCTCTATTCGGGCAACACACTTGTGTGGTGCCTTTCCTTCCGTTTCTCCTACTCTATTGCTAGCGACCCGGGCGGTTCAAGACCAAAGGTCCCGCTCGCGTTCTACTTTCATGTAACTAAGTGGGCCTCGTAACTACACCTATCTTTCCTTCTTGCCCTCTTAGTCTGCTTTTGTTTTGTTTGCGTTTTCTCTGTCCTTCTAAGGCTTTTTAGGTCGCTAGTAGTTTTCAACAAAAAGCGCCAATATTGGCGCTTTGTGCACAAAGTTTTGCGACCAGCGGACACCACTGACGCTACTAGGGGCTTCTGGCCTCGCTACTAGGCGCTAGGACGGTACTACCAGGTTGTAAGGACGCTACTAGCGACTCCTGGCCACGCTACTAAACTGCAAGCAAGGGTCAGCGCGCCGAGTACGGCTTCGTGTGTGTGTCCACACCTGTGCCGAAGGTTTTGAGTCGTACAGGATGCTACTACGGCCCCTGGTTCTGCTACTAGGGGATTCTGGTATCGCTACTAACTTGCAGTTTCTTCACGCGAAGAAAAAGAGGCAGGGGGGTGCAGAGCACAGTGGAGACTGCACCCAATGAAGCTATCCACTTGTGCTGGAAGCAGAGCCTGATCAGCTCTGTGTACCTGCAGCGATTTAATCGGTTCAACTGTTGACAAGCTGTCTCATTCTGTGATTTGCAGTAAGCGGCTAATGCACTACAACAATTTGCTAAACATCTTCAATTTTCCGGACTTCCTCGCCTTTCGGTTTGCACTTTTCTTCCAGTCAAGGGGAACTTCGTACTGATAATAGCTCTTGTGAGCAACTCTCAAAGTGTGTGTTTGTTGTTTCCTACTACCGTGCTAACGCAGCTGACAACGCGCACCTACAAACAAGTTCAGGATGGTTCAGGTGCATTGTACAAGGCATATGTATATGTTATATGTACTGCATATGTGCATATGTGTGTGTGCGTATGTGTATATATATATATATGTATAGAAAAAACATGCATCTGGATTTGGTGTCAGGGATTAAAGTATGTTCACCCTCTGCCAGCATTTTTATCTATTCTTGCACATATCTTGACCCCCGCACATGCATGATCATGCATGTATACTATGCTATTCCGGTCCCTTGGTTTAGCAAGGGTATGTTCACATGCCGAAACCGCTGAGAAAAACAAAACGCAAGAGATTCGAGATTTCAATGGTCAAGGATCTTGTTCTTATCCTTCTTCTTCATGATCTTGTTCAGCTTCTTCGTCACATTCTGCATCGCTTCGAGCCACGGCTGTGCTTGCAGCTCCGCGTGCTGCAGGTTCTCCCGAGCCTTCGCCCGTCGCAGCTGGAGCTGCTCCAGATGCTCCTGTTTGAGGACCTGCCAAAATCTTTGGCTGCACGCTTTAGACTTTAGATGGACATTTGCTCCAAAATCTCCAACAAAAAACGTGTCTGGAGGGAGGCGGTAGAAGCATTTATATAATTGGTGTGTTTGTTGCGCTTGTGTGTGCGGGCCGTTTTGCATTGCACATCTTCATACATCTTCAACTTCCCGGTTTCCAAAGACATCACTCCTGGCGCGGAAGCCGCTTCCCCGCCTCGCCCTGACGCTCGAGCGCCAGCAGCGCAGCCACGCGGCGCGCCACCGCGCGCAGCTCCGCGCTGCAGGCGCCCGTCGCCGTTTTCGCCGCGGGTCGCCCAGCGCTCCGCTCGTCGGAGCCGTCGCAGCAGTCGGCGATGCCGTCGTCGACCTTCGAAGGACAGCGGGTTGGAGCGGTGTCAGGTGGGGGTCCCAGAATGCAACACAGAAACTCGCCACTGGGTCAGGTGCTGCGAAGCTGGCTCAATCCATTCAACCTGGTCTTCTTGGTGTCCTGCACGCGTTCTCAAGTGTCAGATCTGCGTCATCAAACACGGGGTTTCTGCGCCACGACACCATCGAGCTATACACCGTGCGTGGGATGCTCCCCGCGTTGCTGCACCGGAAGCGCGGCGCAGCTGCGGGCGCCGCGCGATGCCCGGCGCTGACGCCCGCGCAGGCGGCGGTGAGGGGCTCGTCCGAGCCGTCGGCACAGTCACAGTAGTCGTCCTGGAGACGGTGAGATGGTGGAGGAGGAGGTGTGTTGAGCCCTTTTGAGCTGAGGAAAAAGCCATAGTTGGGAGAGTTGATCCTCGAAAGAAGGGGTCACTCAGGTTCTAGGTATGATATAGATACATTATATGTATAATTATGAATATATATATATATACTGCAAATAGTTTTAGAGCGGGGAATTGTCAATATAGAGGTGATGTATTCTAGGAGCCTAGCCCATGCCAAGAAGTTGCATTAAAAAAGCTGCCAAGAGACAAGCTCCAACTCCATCTGTCTGGGTCCAGGGTCCAGATCGCTCACTTTAATTGATACAGTATCATTTCGAGCCTTCCCACTGCGAAGGAGCCTCCAACTGGGCAGTTAGTCGCACCTCTTCTTGGAGAATCGACCATCCACGCTCCCTGTCATTCGGACCGTCACCCCCGGGTCATTGATGACGGATGCCGGCAAGTCGGCCAAGTCCACCTCCTTGCCCTCCAGCAGGCACGCCATGGCGGGGCGATGCAGGGCAGTGGCGGCGTCTGAACTGCTTCGTGTGGGGTCACCAGTGGTTCACTTGGGAGGTGTCAGCACGGTGGTTCAGGGGGGGGGGGTCTCCCACCGGGCTTCCGTTGAGGAAGAGACGTTTTTATCTATCTTCTATAGCTGGAATCACCGGAAGCGGCCCTTCAAACGTCACACAAAGATTGACTGTACCTATTGTCAACCACAGGTGCCACATCCTTCTCCTCTATAGCTGGACATCTCCAACCGTCGTGCTGCAGCCGTCAATCAGGGGTCGATCGGCCGGAGACGGCAGGTCGGGGCCCACCGAATGAACTGGCTGAATCAAGACATGTAGGAATGGAAGAGACAACCGAATGTAGAGTTCCACCGAATGGAATGAATGGAACTCTGTTTTTGGTTGATTGAATTTGAAAGGCACATCGTTTTCAATTATTTTCACAACACGCCGCCGCTGTTTCTGCATCAGCATGGGTGAAACGCATCACACGAACCCTTTCCTGGCCCATGTGCCATGCAAAGGTCAAATTCTCTGGGTCGTTTCGCCCACCGAGTGCCTTTCACTCTGACAAATCCACCGAACTGCGTCCCGAACTCGGACCCAAGCCGCTATACCACCCACTGCTGAGTCCGCCCGGGCAGTGCGGTCCGTTCGGTCGGGGTTCCTGAGATCCGGCGCTCAGAGCGTGGAACGGCGAATAATCCGCATGAACTCTTCCTCGCTCACCTCCCCATCATCATCCTGACGCGGAGAGGCGTTCAGAACCCCATGAGTCGGCCAAGCACTGGAACAACATCTCACCTGCACACTTTCAGAGGGGAGAAGGTGAAAGGACATTCAACCACCAAACAATCTAATGGGTGCGGTGGGGGGGGGCAGGGTGGCAACAGGCAATCTACAACACCCCAACAATCTACTGGGTGGGGGGGGGGGGGAGAAGGTGAAAGTATGCGAAACAACACGTACTTATGCAGCACTGGAAATGTTAGGAACACCCCCATTGAAATGTGTCACTCAAAACGCACCGTTGCTTCACCAAATAAACAGTACTCAAATGTACTCAAGCATAGTCCACTTCCAGTGCACAGGCGAGTATTGTTGCTTAGTGCACAAGCGAATATTTTTGCTCGGTGCACCAGCGAGTGCTCGCCCAACGTCGCGAATCCGTCCCACCCGTCGCAAAAAGTCGTCCCGTCCACCACGCATTTCTCCACTAGTACGGCCAGGAGGAGCCCCTAGTAGCGAACTTCTCCACCACGCCTTGTCTGCCTCACGGATCATTTCCTGGAGCTCTTCATCCGACATGTTCTCCCCGAGCTCCCGCGCCACCGCCTGCGCGCAAAATAACGCCGCGGCTCACTGGACGGTTTGGAATAAACACATAACAAATGAAACGTTTATTTGTGCGTATCTATACGCAAATACATGTGTGTTTGTGTGTGCACCTGCGCTATGAATATACCAAAATTGTGCATTACATAATCTATCCCATATTATACATTGCTATATTACACAGTACATATAAGATCCGTGTGTAGAGCTGCAAAATGCCATAATGGTGATAGAACGCCCATCTTGTTCCATAAAAACCTGCAAAGTACAACGACACGCACCAAAAAAATGCATGTGACGGCGGGCGGTAGCATCTTCAGCCAAAAGCCGCTCTTCGCCCCTAAGGGCAACGGAACACCCTTCCAACCCCTGGCTTAGCAATGAACAGCTTGACTGTCTTCTCGTCACTGCCTTCACCCAAAAAACAAATCTAGGTCTAGATCTGCAAAATCCACAAAATATGATGGGTTTGTAGTTTACGTTGTAAATCTTCGAAGTCAAGCGTTTTGCCGACTTTCCTCCTTTCCGTCATGATCCTCGTCCATTAGCTTTTTCTCAAGCTTGCCTGCCACAAGCGCCCCCCATACGCGGGTCCGGAGCCTTCAAGTCCTCGAAGGAGATCTTTCCGGTCGGCCCCTGAGAACCCCCACATCCGAGCGGACCAACGCCGAGCATCTTCTCACACCCACAGTGCGCGTCTGGCGAAATGCCAGACGATAAGACGAAAGAAGCGGAGAGAGAGAGAAGGCGACCGCCTTCTAAGACACGGTCGCGACCGAGAACGGTTTTTTCACGTGTTCGCCTTGAAGAGCTGGAAGGCCTTGACGATCTGCTCCTTCCCAAAGGGACGATGGCCCGTCCCCCCCGACACCCGCGGGTGTGCGAAGGCAGCGAGGCAGACGGGGGAAGAAGACGTAAGGGACTTCACTTCGAGTCGAGGAGCGAAAAGTGAAAAAGAGGGGAGGGGGTGACATGCGGGGTGATCAAAAACCACTGCTGAAGCACTTCCATGAGAGGTGCACAGGTCTTTCACAAAGGGAAGACCCCGGATAGGGGAAGGAAGCATGCAGATTGGATGGAATCAGGTTGTGGTTCATGTGACTTGAGCCAGATTGAGGCCGCCTGAGGCCTAAAGAGATCGAAGAAAGACATCTTCCCAGCATAGACCCCGAGATCTGAACCACCCGCCCTGCCCCTTTATGGCACAGATTTTTTAGGGCCAAGAACCGCACAAGAAGACCTGGTCAGAAGTCGCAAGTCAACTTCGCCACTGGTTTCCGTTGCGGACCTCCCTGGATTCAACTCTCCAAACAAAGAAATCAGAGATCGGTGAATAGCTACACTTAACAGCTGCTTGTCCCCCCAAACATACAATGCCACTGCATCCGGTCTCCTTCGAGTCCTTTTCGCTCATCTTCGCCTCAGCGCCATCGGGCCCCCCTTGTTTCGCTGGCTGACATGGGGGGGGGGGAACCTGAGGCGGACCCTTTTCGGGGCAACGACCTGAGTCGGAGCCTTTGTCCCGTCCAAAAGTCTCCGCCGACAAGTAGAACGAAAAAGCCCATCCACCAGAACCGACCAAGCGCGCCAGACGGTTTTCCGCTGCAGAGACCCAACCCCACGGCCCCCACGGACTGACCGCTCCGATCCGTTGGGACGGCGCGCCGTCATGATCTCCAAGAACTCGTTGAAGTCTAACATGCCCTGGCCATGCGAACTGCCGCTCTTGTCCAAGTCAGACCTCAGGCGCATCCGCGCGTCGGACGCAAGGACAGCGCGCCTGGCTCCTCTGGAGTCAGCATCCCAAGCGAAACCCACCAACAGAACTAACCGAGCATGTCCATGTTCCGTTTCCATGTGTGTGCGGTGCCTGGTGCAGGCTCAGCAGATAGTTGGTTTGCACCCGTCTGGCCACCGAACCCAACAGCGCAGGCCATCGCCGTCACCTTTCGCCCATCTCTTGGACCATTCGATCCGGTCCTCGCCATCCCCTTCCGAAAACCAAAATAAGGACGCAAACGAGTTGGGCAACCCTGGTGTTGCCAAAGGAGTGGACTGAAAAAGGTCAAAGACACAGTGCATCAGCCCTTGTTTCGAACCCCCCTGCTGCTTCAAATCAAGGAACACCAGCTTCTTGAGTTCCTCCTTCTTCGGCTCAAAGCCTAAGGCCCTCAACGCCACCTTGAGCTCCTTGGCCTCGCCCGGTGTTTGCCCCAAACAGTGCAGTCGTACAACGAAATGGTTCAAACGCTCCTAGACAGTTTAGAACGGCCATATAGCCTATCCCATATTTACCACTGTAGTGTCCTATAAGGTCTCTCAACCTCTCTTGGCATGCACGCAACCCCTTCATGCAACCCGTGGGAAACAGGTTGCAAACAGGCTCAGGCTGAGCCTCAATGGTGCCCGTGCCGTCTGTGTCGAAGAGGTCGAAAGCCTCCTTGATCTCCGCCTTTTGCTCCTCGGCGACGGCGGGTGGTTCGAGCGGGCACCGGGAGCGATGAAAGAGGTTTCACGAAGCAACCAGTTCTAAGCAATCAGTGGGATGGAAAGACTGAAAGACTTCGAAAGAACCTATTGTGGATGGAAAGACCGAAAGACTTCGACTGATTCACAGTCATTCTCAAGCCCTCTTTCCGATGAAACTTGGGCAAAGGGCACGGCCATTCCTCCCGATCTCCCATTGGAGGCACTTGTTGGACACACAATGGTCAATCCTATGTTGGGAAATCCTAGCCCCGCACTACCACCATCCACCGCCTCTTCTTAAACCCCTCGTCTTGTACCACCTCTAAGACTCAGCCCGGCCCTCCGGCCCTCCAGCCCAGCCCAAGCGTCGTCTTTCAACTCAGTCCGCTGCCTCGCGCGGACCTTCCGCGCTTTCGGTGCCATGGCGCTCACCGCGACAGCTCGCCGCGTTCGCCGGGGGGGGCTGGCGGCCAGGCGGAGCGTTTTTGAGCCGAGAGCAGCCACGGGGGCGGTTGAGGGGCGAGGGCGAGGGGTCAGCCCTCATCACCGGAACATACTGGTGGTGCTGGTCAATCTCCCCACAAACTGGTGGTGCTGCAGTCAAGCTATACAAGTCGAGTCCGGGCTGATCTTTGGTCCACGGTGCCCGTCTGTTGCCGGCCTACCAAAGCACCTTGAAAACAGACCTGTCCTGCAGTGCAAAAAAGGCAAACCCGCCGCGCTCCACTTCCACCTTATCATACAGCAAACACCGTTTTACGCCCATGTGCTTGTTTCAATTGAAGGAGAAAAACGAGGACCACCACCAACATACCTGAGTCAAAACACCCTGATGCCACTGATGCCCAACTATACCACTCACCGCTCACCCAACGAGGACGCACCCCAACCCTTTCCTCCCCAACGAGCACGGGCAGCAGCTCCTGCCAGAAGCTCTGCATCCTCATGGCGGCGTCACAAAAAGACAGTGCTGGGGGATGCTGGAGGCGACTTGAAACCAAAGCCCGGCATTCAGTCCTCGTGCAAGAAATCAACTCAGAACTTGCTACAGTACATATGCTGTCTGACTGAAGTAGCAAATCACATGTCTACAGTAGTTATTTCCCTTGTCTGGTCCCAAAATCCTAACCACACTTGCATGCACACTGCTGGGAGGAAAAACAACAGCCATACACCTTATAGCTTGATCTTCCCTATCTTCCTCCATCTGCAGTGGACCCCATCAGCCACGCGTCTCTTTCAGGTCGTTCCGGTAGGCTGCGCCCATGCGCGCCGAGACCTTGCGGCCCTCCATGGCGTTCAGCTGCGCCAGGAGATCCGCGCCGCTGCTGAAGCGCAAGAGCTCAGGCACGAGGAGGTACCTGGGTGGCGAAGGATGGCGAAGGATGGCGAAGGATTGAATGATCATCTCAGGAAGGACTACGTGGAAGGGACTAGGTCTGGGTGATCGCTGTCTTTGTCGGGGGTGAACATGGAATTGAGGTCGGCGGCCGACCTGTGTGTTTAACCCTGGATATGGAGGGAAGAATGGAGTCTTTTGGAGATTGATTGCCAAAATAGGAAAAGCGGGCTATGCTTTACACAGGGGAATCAAAACTGTCATGAGGACCCCTGTGTGAACAAATCGACGCCGAAAAAAGAACTAAGCCATGGGGAAGGGAGCATCAAATCTCACACTGTCTTTGGGCCACACGACAACCAAACAAAAGTTACCCATTTGTCTGCCCACCAGGTTCTATTAGGATCTCATACCCTATCATGTTCAATGATCATCGCAGTTCAGCGCCATCCTCCTCCCCTCTGCTCTCTGCTTCCGTTTCCTCCTCTCCCCTTCGGACCTCCTCCGCCCCGAACCGAGCTGCTCCGAGTACTCCGCCCAGTAGGCACGCGCCTGGATGCCCCGCACGTTGGAGGGCGCCAGGACGGTGTCCTCGAAGGGGTCGAAGGGGTGCACGGCGGCCACGTGCGCGCGGTCGCTCCAGGGGTCGTAGGCGTTGTAGGGATACCTGCCCGGCCGAAGCACAGGAGGCAAACAACGAAACCAGACACCCGACGGATGCGGGGCACCTAACTAGAGCTGGGTCCAAGCTTGAAACCATGTCTTAACATGTCCAAAAGAAACCCGTTCACAGGAACAGCTGTGGCCTTTCCCCCACCAATGCAAGGAGGCCGGACCGCCAGGGGCACGTCTTTGAGATCCTTCCTCAACCCATACACCTGCATCCCTCCGCAGTGTCCGATCGGTCGCATCCTGAGATCGGTCCGACTGAGGGAGGGGGGTCCTTGGCTGATGTAGGGTGTCCTTGGAATGGCTGCCAAAGCTGAAGCTACTCAGAGCACATGCTGATGTCAGTACATACAGAGTAGTGGCCCAGCATATAGAAGGGTGCTCCAATACATGTTGAAAAGACTCGAGGGGGGACATATACTTTTCTATAATTCTTTCGGGCTACAAATTTCCGGCACATTCATTGGCGTGGGTCCTCCAATCATCAAGACCAGGTTGCGGCATGAGCCGCATGTTGGCCACATGCACCAGGTTCCGGAGCAAGGAGAGCTGCGGAACGAGCAAGGGCATTCGCATCTTGAAGAGATGCCTGCAGAAGTTCCGGCTTCTATTCTCGGAGCCAATCGTGGAAGTTGGTTCCATTCGAGAAACCGACTCTACCTGGAGACCACCGCAGAAACCGCAGGTTGTCCACCGCTCGCCTCGTTTTTAGATGTGTTTAGCCCCTTGGAATCCTCCGGGCACTCAACACCTTCCATCTTATGTGGAAGGGAGGGCAACCACCAACTAAAATGATGGAAAGTTGGAAGAGACAGGCTTCCTAATATTATTGCAGGTTGCCTGAGTGTGAATCGTCGGTACTGGGTCGCAAAATAAGCCACACTTCCTCACACCAGCCTACTCCCAAGCTGATAGGGAAAAAAATCCCTCAGGATCTCAATCACTGAATATACCGGATAAGATGTGCTGGACGATTCCAGAAAAACGAGAATTCCCTTTCTTCGTTCATGTGCATGCCAGCCGGAGAGGGAAAAAAACAAGATGGAGCCCACGAACCCGAATGCAAACACGTTCGAAAAGCTACATATGTCCAAATGACACTCTTGTAGGACACTCTTGTGGGACACTCTTCTGGGACACTCTTATGGGACACTCTTGTGGGTCACTCTTGTGGGACAC